GTAGGGAGTGAGTGAATGTGTGGTGTGGCCGGCGGTTGTCTACCGCAGGTCGTCGTGGATGCGCACGTGGCCGAATAGGCTCATGCGATGCCTGAAAGTGCGAGGACAGTGTGGGCAGTTGAGACGAGCTTGATCGGTATACGTGGGTGCTCCAGGCACTGGGTCGCCAGTCTCTGTGCGATGGATTCGCAAGTGACCGACCAGGCCGATGCGTGAGGTGAATGTGCGTGGACAGTGTGGGCATGAGAAGTCGGCGGTGTCAGTGTCAGCTACAGAGGAGGCGGTGGTGGTGGTGATGATGGTGGTGTCTCGGACGGATGGAACGAGAGTGGGGGTGTGCACGGTGGATGTGTTGGATGTAGTGGGTGTGTCGGGAGTGCGGTCAAGGCCGCTCTCGTGGATGCGCATGTGGCCGAAAAGGCCCATGCGATGCGTGAAGGTGCGAGGGCAGTGTGGGCAGTGGAGGCGAGTGCGGTGGGTGTAGGTTAGTGCTCCAGGCACTGGTTCGCCAGGCTCTGTGCGATGGATTCGCAAGTGACCGACCAGGCCGATGTGTGAGGTGAAAGTACGGTCGCAGTGAGGGCAGGTGTAGTCCTGATCCTCATCCCTGGAGTCGGTCACACACACACACACACACACACACACACACCAAGAAGGATGATGATCAGTTGGTATAAATCGACGTTGTCTGCACGGGTGTCAAGGTGGGCCTGCAACAGGAGAAGAAAAATCAGGTTTTTTGAACGACTTGACTGCAACGAAGAAGGCAAACAGGCTCACGCCGAGCACTTTAGCAACTCGATTCGACCTCTAACCACTATTAAAACAAATAGGTCCCGCAATTTCATTCGTGCCCACCGCATAACTGTTTAACCACGCGCTTCAGGCTGCCGGAGTGAGCATTATCAGCGCAGCAATCTGTGGCTGTGGGACCGAGGGGATAGAGACGAGGTTTGTTTTTGATTGCTTTGAGAACTGTCAGGACAAACTTACCTACCTCTCTCCTACCTTCGTGGATCTGACCACGGCATATGGTACGAGGATCGTGACGGACCCGTTGTTAACTCTTTCCTGGCTGAAGATGTCAGAATATACTTAGAATTCACCGAGACCTTAGTAGACGCGTAGCGAGGCATCACCGAGGAAGTCTCATCACTCGCAAGCGGATGTACGATTTGTTTGAAATAACTGCTCGCAGGCCAATAGGCAACAAATGTTGAACCAGGTGCATGAAAAGGACAGGCTCTATTCCGTATGATTAAGATAGATGCTCATTATTACTGTTTGTTTTTCAATGCTGACCTCTTTTATACGAGCATTAAAATACAACAATTTAGCATAACTGGCATTGGAAAATCGAGTTTCTTTCATCTCTCCTGCCTACATTGAATTCTCTCCACTGCAAAACTCATCATTTCTTTGAAACAATGGTTTGTGGGTCAGTTCAACAAATTAAGTAGAGGTGAGATGTGCGTTTCGAATGATTGCCTCGTCGGGGCACCACAGCATACCCGATTTTCTAGAGAAAAGGCATTGAATCAACTATATTGAGGAACCATATTTTAGTTCTCGTTTTACTGCGGAAACATCTTTAATGCAGTCCGTTTCTAACGGTGATATGACTAGCCGTAAATAATGCCATATATTGAAATGATCATGAGTTACTTACTAAATGATAGGGGCCCGACGATTTATCATTCGCGTGACTTCCAACATCTTCTTTCCGAGCTGGCAGATATTTGGGGAGATATTTTCTGCCGGATAAGCATGCGATCACGACATTGAGACGTCGGCCAACCGCGGATGTGTTCGCGGTGGTCGAATGGGCCGCTCCTGGAATAGGGATATTCCGTTACGTCCGCGGATATGAGGGGTGATGCAACCCCTTGACAATGTTTGCTACCAACGGACAGAGTCCTAACTTATGATTATGCTTCTGTGCTGGGTACTGCTCGTAGGGTGAAATGAGGCCTTTACTTGTGCTTGTGAGCAATTTACCCATAATTTAAATCCAGTATTTTCGTGATCGCGAGTCTGTGCTGGCTCAATGCTCATTGGTTACCAAGAATTTTCTCGCTGGCCTACAAAACTGCTGGTCGAAGATCAATTCAGAAGGACATCCCGGACTGAAGTTTTCTATTTGCAACGAAATGAATTCCGTTAAGTTTGATCAGACAAACAGGAACATATTTGTCTGATATTATGCACCCTGTTAATAAATTAAAACTCATAAGTATCTGCTCTTAACACTTCTGTAAAGGCAAAATATTGTCAATCCTATTCTGAGGTATATTCATATGAGAGGCAGGATATAAATATTCAGACCTTAAGTGCCAAAGAAGTCACTTGCACAGCGTTAGCTTTCTGATGAGCATCGCCTCTGCTCAACACCCATCAATAAATTGCTATATCAGAAGTGTTCCATTTCCCCACTGAAGATTAGTGTCCATAATAAAAGGACTCATGTACTCCAGGAATAATGGTAGAAAGATCGATTTCTTAGAAGTTTCTGGGGGAATTGGCTCCTCACTTCTATTTCATGTGTGAAGGTGTGAATTACTACTTCACCAAGGGTTGATATATCTTGTTTATTCGGTAAACACTACGAGCGCCTTTGCTTGTCAGGTTTAAAAGCTAACTGCTGCCATGCCACGAACATGCATATGTAGTCATTCTTCGCCTTGTGTATTGTGCCGCTGGTGATTGTGAAATGATGCTGCAGAACATACCGCAATGAAACCATAATAATGAAGTCAACTGTGAGTCAAACCATTTACAAAATTTGGATGGCCGTAGACTGTGGATCGTCTCATATGTGGTTTTATCTTGGCATACATCTGCAGACTGTTGGAGAAATTACGCTCTCAACAACGATTACTTCCCACGACCTCACGCCTTAACTTGAAATCCGTTATTTTGTGAAATTTACTTTTTGTTTATTGCTTAATTATTACTCTCATTTCCGTTGTCGCACAATAGCGTAGGGAATTATTTTTGGTATAAATTCAGGCAATTATTGCGTCTTCTTTCATTTTGCCAACTTAATGTCTAGCTTGCTGCCCCGCACACAAATTGCCCTTAACCATAGATCACGTATAGCACGATCCCCAGTCTACTGACAGTTAGGTTTGGCTTTTCTCTATACCGTTGCCATGGGAATCAAAAATTTATGTGTTTTGTCAAAAATTTCCTCCTTAAAAGCACTAGAATGCTGAAATCTCAAATCACTGCTAAGACTGCATTCGCCTCCAAAGTCAGAGTACATTTATGAACGCCTATGCGATGTGTCTTAACAAGGATAAGTGGCTAGATACGGGAATATGGACCGCAAAGTACCACCGATGGACTCGCACTTAATTCCAGGGACGTTCCTATTCCTGTGTCCTAGGCGTGGCCCTAGACCTGATTCCAATCCACAAGCTTATTTCTGACCCAATAACACTTACACTTAAAACTGAAATCCGACGCTAATCCGCCTATAACCAAACCAACCAATAACGCAAACGCTAACCCCCACTGCAACATCCCACTGTCGAATATAGAACAGGACTGTGTATAGTACAGGATGTGCATATATTCATACCTAATTGGATAATTAGGCTAGACAGGACCTTCCCTTTCCCCCCCTCTCTGCAGGTTATAACCGTAAATCGGCTATTTAGATATCTAATGCATTGTCAGAAACAGAGATGCCATGAAACCAGGAGGCTGGTCGTGAGGGAGGACGTCTATCAAATCACGCTTGCTCAGTACGGACTGAATCAGCAGCATGAATTTTTACATCGACCTTCTCTATCTGTACAAGTGAAAAAATATCTATGGGAAAGTTGTACAAAAGTGAAATTCTCTATCTTATTCCATCGTTTGCGTAGTCTCCTATGTTCTAAAAACCTTTATATTCATACACCTACAGTGCGTGACCGATCTCATGAAGTGTTTGCCGAAACTCTGGAATGCGTTTTCGATTAGAAAGTATTACTTAGCTGGGGTTGTAATATTGATCCTCAAGAGGCAAAATCCTATAGCATTTCAGACTCGAAAGGGTGTCGGCATTGGCTGAACTTCTCTTCCCTCCCCATGCCGAAACCACACTCGATAAAAACCGACTACTTATGCAACAGGTATTTTCACATTAATTTTCGGTGTTCTTGTAAATTCAAATATGTTTTATAGAAGACATGCACAAAACATGCTTTCTTTTGCTCGTTTGGTAGGAAATCACATCATCTTTACGTTTTATACTCCAAGAAAGGTTATCTTTCGGTAGTGAAAAGTTTCCCAATTTCTAAATAATTTTGGGCCTAGCCAGCCGTTGCATTAGCGTTTAGCGATTTCAGTCTGCAAAGTGTATGCCTTCCGCGTGAGGAAAATCATATATTCCTCCAAGCCTTCAAAAAGACATCATATAAAGGTCATGAAATTCATGAGGAGCATTGGCAAACGGATATGTGCGATGCTGTATCAATTGAGATCTGACAGTCCTAAAATCTCATAATTAGAAATCTTTTTTAAGGAAAAAAGATAAATTTTCTTAGGGTATAAAACGTAAAGACGATGTGATTTCCTACCAAATGAGTAAAAAAGCACGCTTTGTGCATGTTTTTAAAAAAATATATTTGAATTTACAAGAACACCGAAAATAAATGTGAAAATACATGCTACATAAGCAGTCAGTTTTTATCGAGTGTGGTTTGGTCAGTGGGATCGCAAAGAAGATCAGTCAAAAGCCGAAAATCTGGTGAGTCTGAAATACTACAGGCGTTTACCGCATAAGGATCAGTATTACAACCCCAGCAAAGTGATCCTTTATAATCGAAATCGCAGTTCAGAATTTCGGCCAACATTGCATGACATCGGTCAATCACAGAACTTAATATTTGAGCGTGGTTATATAAGTAGTGTAGTACCCAGGTCTGATGCGAAAGGCGGAGCAGTAGAAGCATTTAAACCTAATGATCACAAGAACACTGGCTCAAATAAAAAAGGAAACCAGCTATAAAACCCTGGTAAATTGGAATTACACGACTTCTTCACGTATTTGACTTGAAAAATAATCTCAGTTTATACACTAACTCTAACAACTGATTTTGTCTTCATCAGTCCTGCAAGACATGATCCAGTGTGTAGAGGCATGGAGGAGCAAGGGAGAAAAGTGACATTATCAAACTGGCAGTTCTTAGCGAGTGTTGTTTTTACAGTGGCCCTGGCATATGCCCATCTCAGAGCGGAATTGTGAACCACATTAAACTGTATCTGAGGGGACCTTGTCAAGCTGCTTCTCATAGGAGACGAGGTGTCGATCGCCTACTACAACGTATCATCCCCAAAAATAGTATTCCTGAATCTATTCCACTCCAGGCCTGCTCAGGCTTCCTTAAATCACATCCTCTTCGGTTACTTCCAGGAACACTACCACCGACGTTGACAGACAGAGGAGAGCATGAGTAATCGTCAATGACACTACTAAGGACAAGGTGGTAGTTGTCGAAGGAGTCTTATTGAATACAGGCTGCTTGCCTTCTTTGTCCCTGTGTAAGTGGAACGTAAGATATGGTTATGTAGCCCCACCCGACTGAAACAATAATGTTGGAGTTGAGGTTAGGGGCTGGGTTAAGGGGCTAGGGGTTAATGCAGCTATTTCTCAACCATTCAAAGTGCAACTATACAGGACATATAGCTTTCTTTTGGAAGCAACTAATTGACCTCGTCCAATATTAAATCCAAGGCCCCATCTGATAATATCCCTCTTATAACCGGTTTCGTATCACAGGTGGCTGCGGACCTGGTCGGTGAAAAGGGCAAGTTGTCGATTTTGCTGCAGTTCAGACGCTGGAAGACTTGAAGATGGCATGCCCCATTTCCTTACGCTTAATAATTAGTTCAACCAGAACAAAACTAATTGGAGCCCCTCCGAACTGCCCGAGCATCTTCGCTCGGAGCAAGAACAAATGTCTCATTTATCTAACTAGGCAATTTATTGTAAGTGTGGATGCGGTTAAACACGTTTACAGCCAACTCTGCAAATTCTGCCAATACAAACGCGAACGCATAATATGCCGCGTCTACTGCGCGCAGGAGCCAAAGTCCCTTCAACCAACCCAGCCTCCAGCTCCTCACTATCTGCCTTCAATTCCCTTGATCTCTTCTCATCCTCCTACTCCTGCTCTTGCACCGCCTCCTTCGCTTCTGGTCCTTCCCATTTCAGAGCCTCACTCAGACCCTCCTCGTCATCGGCTTCCAGAATCTCGTAGGCCGGTGACGCCTGGCACACGAGAGAGTGGGCAACAGCAAACAGCAGTAGCAACGACAGGCTGGTCATGATCAGGTAGTTTGCAATGCGGGTTCACTCACACACGTCCTTCTCTGTCGGTCTGTGATTTGGCTTAAATAGACCATCTTGCATGTGGGTGTGCCTGCAATTGCGTGTGGACTTAATTATCGACACTGCTATCGGGGGCGTAATTGTAAACTTGATGGTGTCCGGTGTACATCCTGAGTTTGATCATAGACCAGAACCGTTTATTCTGATACTACTGGCTTGTCTTAGCGTGTCACATAGACCTGTTCCGCGCACACTTGACAACGTCTTCACTCAATAAGTAAGTTCGGATCCAACTGATTGGGAGTGTCATAGAGGCCACAGCAGGAAGGAACCATTGCAGCCTCACTGTCAGTCATGACAGGAGGAGCAGATTTGCCGTCAGGTTGCAGCCTTCCTATCTACGGCTTTTAGCTCACAGTGATAGATGTAAACGCATCAGATAGCTTAGAATTAGGAATGCGATGACTTGCCCCGGGGATTGTATACCCATAATCGACCTCACCCTCTCCTCGCTTCCACCTGCACCAGTCGATTATCCTATTCCGTTTATCAACTGGTCTTGCGATCGCTGGCAATGGCCGACGGAGCCAAGCAGCCTGCCTGCATGCCTTCTCCCGTCCCACCACAACACACCAGGTTTAAATGCATCGGCAGTGGGCATCTGGCGCCTCAAATACGCTAGGGTGCCATAAATTCCGCCGAAATGCTGTGGTCGACAACAGAGACATTCCCAAATCAGAAGTGACGTAAGGCGGAATGGGCATGGCAAGCCTTACTTCTGAAGAAGTGCATACACAAGAATCTACAAGCAGTCCCAGCTAACGGTTTCTCCAGGCGATTTCCTCTGCCTCTGCCGTCGAGGTGATTAACCCCCAATGTGTGTGCGCTTTCGCTTTGTCCCTGTTGACGTCCGTTGGCCAATCAGCGAAGGGGCAATGTTGGTTGGCTTCGAGCTTTCGCGAGGCTAGTGACAAGTCGCACGTGGTCCCAGTAGCGAATCTACTGGGAGCGTCAGCTGAACAGAAATGTAGCATGAGCAAGCAGCGGTTAAAATGGAGGCGCGACCTGCTACAGAAGTCCCGGCTAGACCGAAGTGAGCGTGAAGCGACGCCGAAAGTAATGTTCATCTCTAAAATACATAAGTAAACAAACTGTAAGCAAAATGGTCAGAGCGTCTACAAAGGATGATACGTGCTGGTTGCACAGATAAGACCGAACATTTCTCGCAGCCACAGTGTTGGAGTTTGATGGGACGGTAGTTGAAGTTGGGAGTAGCGGATATGGCAGATTGGCATAATCATTATCAAAAAGAGGAACTGAGACGCCTTGATGCAAAAAGTCTCCTATGAATGCATCAGCATGGGTCAACAACTGGAGGATTTCAGCACATCTGACCGTGGATTCTAGTGTTAAACCAAACAGATCTGCAGGAGTGAATTAACCAGTGGTCGTCCTCTACTATGATTAAAAGGGGCTTTCGCCAGTGTACAAAAGTACCGACTAACTTGGATGCTATAGATATCAGTGGACAAAGCAGACATGAATGCCATAATCAGCCGGCAAACTCTTAACTCAACTACAAAAATCTATGATTCCGTGAAACTGTCAATTAATCAGCATCGGAATATTCAAATTCGCGTAGGCAGCAGGTGCACGAATCCGGTGTGCAGATAATTCCCTACGACAAGTTTCCCGATTGCTGAACGGACACGCAGGAAAATGTGGTTTATATATCATTTAGTAAGTATCTCGTCATCATTTAAATGTATAACACTATTGATGGCTAGTCATATAACGGTTAGAAACAGACGGCACCAATGATATTCGCGCAATAAAACGAGGACCAAAAATATTTTTTCAATGTTGGTGAATTAGTGCTTTCCTTCGAGAACATCGGGTAGGATGCGGTGCCCTGACAAGGTAGTCATTTGAAACGCACATCCCATGTCTTCATAATACGTTGGACTGACACAAAAACCATTGTTTTATAGAAATGATGAGTGTTGCAACAGCGGGAATTCAATGTAGGTAAGAGATATGAAACAAACTCGATTTTCCACTGCCATTTATTTTCAATTGACGTATTCTAATGTTCTAATAAAAGATGCCAGGATTGAAAACTAGCAGATATATTAGTCATCTATCTTATTCAAACGGAATGAATAGAGCCTCTCCTTTTCATGCACCTGGTTCAACATTTGTCACTTGTCGGCCTTCGAACAGTTATTCCAAAAAAACCGTGCATCCACTTGCGAGAGTTGAGACCTCCCCCCCGTGATGCCTCGGTAAGCATCTAATTAGGCCTCGGTGAATTCGGCAAATATTCTGGCATCTAAAGCCAGGAAAGAGGTAACAACGGGTGCCTCATGATCCTCGTACCAAAGGCCATGCTCATATTCACAAAGGTAGCAGAGAGGTAGGTAAGTCTGTACTGAAACTTGTCGGAACAAACGAAACCAAAATAAACAACCGTTTTATCCCCTCCGTCCCACCGTCACTGACAGCTGCGCGGACAAAGTTACCCGCGATTGGCAACATCTACGATCCCACTTCCGATGACTTGCCATGACGATCTGATGGACAAGTGCTATGACGACCTCCATTTCTTTATGTCCGTGTTGAATTTTGACAAATTTGTTTTCGTACACAACTTCGATCTGTGAGACAGCACACATCAGGATATCTGGAAGAGAATGCCTCATCCTCTATGAACATGTCCCTGGTGTGGCAGCCGAATCAATCATATGCAAGCCTTCGCAAGAGTAAACCTCACCACCGATGCCGTCATTTGAATACCAAAGTTCGGTACGACAGCCAAAATCGGCCAGCTGATATGCCTACTGAAAAACTGTTGGCCAGGTGCTCGTCAGAAGACGAAATATGCGGATGACAACAAACAACGTTTTCCAAACGATGAGCGGAAAACCGCTTTGTCCAGTCACAGAGACAGTTTACTTGTAAGAAATCCCCAATGAATGAGAATATGCTGCTACCAGATCTCCTCAGGGAATGCGAACTATATAGAAGAAGAGGAACAGACCAAATTTTTGGCCCAAATGGAAGAAAGTTGTGAAAAAATACTAGAAAACAGTAAAAAAGCGGACTGCAGAACACTTCCGGTGCTGAATTTCCGGGACAAAATGCATATAAAAATTTAAACATAAAGACTGCTCCCCAATGATTCTCTCGCTACCACCCGAAATTACACTGAACATCTGGTTAAACATGCAGAGAGCATTTAAAAAAATGCACTTAATTCTATGATAGCAACGCCATATTCTAGAGCAGACAGCTAGTGCTTCACTGAACGCTCCTCAATTCAGGCTGCCAATGACGGCATAACGCCAACGCAGTATTAGTGTAAACGTTCCTCGTCTATGCGCTCTTGACTTCAAAATCCGGAGGTACACCGGTCACCATCCGGTTTACAATTACGCCCCCGATAGCAGTGTCGATAATTAAGCCCCCACGCAATTGAAGGCACACCCACATGCAAGATGGTCTATTTAAGTCAAATCGCAGACCGACAGAGAAGGACGTGTGTGAGTGAACCCACATTGCAAACTACCTGATCATGACCAGCCTGTCGTTGGTACTGCTGTTTGCTGTTGCCCACGCTCTCGTGTGCCAGGCGTCACCGGCCTACGAGATTCTGGAAGCCGATGACGAGGAGGGTGTGAGTGAGGGTCTGAAACTGGAAGCACCAGAAGAGCAGGAGGCGGTGCAAGAGCAGGGGGAGGAGGAGGAGAAGAGGTCAAGCGAATTGAAGGCAGATGCTGAGGAGCTGGAGACTGGGTTGGTTGAAGGTGCTCTGACACCTGCGCGCAGTAGACGCGGCATAATATGCGTTCGTGTTTGTTCTCGTAGAATTTGCAGAGTTGCCTGTAGACGTGTTTAACCGCGCGCACACACACACACTTACAATAAAGATCCTATTTTGATAAATGAGCCATTTATTCTTGCTGTGTGCGAAGATGCTCGGGCAGTTCGGAGGGGCATACTTGATGCATACTTGCATGGAGCATCATCTTCCCATATGAGCTCCGGTGAAAGGTTAGTAAAGAAGACGAAGGAGAGAGGAATTACTCCGTGTGATTTTGTAGACGTACTTAAAATTATCCATAAGGCTGTTATCATTTGTGTTACTTTATTTTAGCTTGAATCTGGATGCCCTATCGTTGGAGGACGAGGAGACATTTGGTGTCAAGTTTAATGATGCATCGAATGACCTTGAAGCAGCACTTGATCGGCCACAGACATCGCCACACTGGCAAGTCTGTTTGGAATCTGAGATCGATTAGGATGCAGGGAGATGGAGCATGATGTTTTATGGAAATGAAATTTTATACTTCAAATACATAGGTGCACCAGTGAACGATGAGAGGAATGACGATGTTTTCGAAATGAGTGAGCTCATAGTGATAGTGAACTTGCGCAGCATCAAGCACACCCTCTGCCCCCTCACACTCCTGCCCTCAATGTCAAGATCCACACAGGAAAACCGGACACGGGGGAGAGCGTAGTGGATTAAAATGGTGAACAGCGTGTCAGTGCTTGTCACATAGACCTGCTCCGCGCACAATGGACTGCGTCTTCACTCAACAAGGAAGGTTGGTTCATTCCAATTCAACTGAGTATCAGTGCCATAGCTGCCATGGAGAGAAAGAACCATTGCAGCCTGAATCTCCGTTCTGACACGAGGATCCAGTTATACCGTCAGATGTCAGCCTTCCTAACTACGGTTCCTAGATCACAGTGATAGATTCAAGCGTATCGGAATCTGTAGGGGTAGGAATATGTGTGCTCTGTGACAGTCGACTTCATTCCCTCTTCCCTCTCCCGGACACCAGTCCACTGTCAGACATGGCAAGTCCGCCAGTCAACATTGGGCGCAGTGACTGACAGAGCTAGACAGTCCGAAAGCGTGTGCCACACAAACACAACCTGGCCATCCACACAACTCATCAGGTTTCCACACAAGACTCTGGGCTTCTCGCATCACACATGCGTGAGAGCACAATAGATGCCACATTATAAAGGATTCTCATGTCACGATTGCCATTTTCGACCGCCGGAAAACGCGCATATTGTGCATCCCGTGTTTCGTCAAGATTGTCAGTCCGTATAACCAAAGTCGAGCAAGAGGTTCGGCAATTTTATTCCTGGCTCTATTGATGCTGCCACCTATCCTCTCTTAGGCAGTCGTGTGTCTGTAATGCTATTCTCCCTAAATCATGATCATCCGGCGATCTTAATGCTAAAAATAACCAAATTGTGAGCGATGGCCTTCGAAAAGCCAGCTTCGCTCAAAACTTTTTCAAAGTGTCTACACCGCTGAACCACCCCTCCAGTCCTGTCCACTGTCACAGCTGGACGCCGCCAAGCCTTGCTGTGGCTCAGTGTGATCACATGGGGAAGGAGAAAAAGCGGAAGTGGGCGTGTTTCGCATATGTTTAATTTCATAATGCTTGTGGGTATACAATGCACTTTATCTGTGCAGACAAACAGATTTTCTGGTTTGCCGACTCTGGCGCACGCAACATATGTTTGGCCATGTGAGAAACAATCCGTTTGCAGATTCAAACCGCACAGTTCCAGAGACTGACCCTGAGCTTTGCTGATCCTGATTGCAAGCGGCAATCGAATCAGCAATCGCGGTCACCTAAATTGAAATAACATATCAGTTGGAATGAGTGGAATACCATGAATCAGGACATGTTCAGCTTTGAGAGGCCCTGCCAAAGCAGTTGCTTCCACAACGTTACCGAATTAATTTTTTGCTGCAAGTCGCGTGCCGTTGTAAAGTTTCGACTGGTTGATATTACGCAGCATGGTAGTCAGCACGCCAATTTTGCATTTCAGTACGTGCGGCGGCTCCCCTGGCAGATCACGTGAATTCAAAAAATTCTTTTGGATGAATAACTGCCTCGTCTGCGTCCACAACAGTGTCAACGGACGTGTACATGACTGTTTCGCTTTGTATCTTACACTGAAAAATATGATTAAGATGGTGCACATCTTTGTTCTTGGCCGAAAGGATAGCCCGTTTGCTCAACCAATCGAGTGGTATAATTGGTCTGAATATTGGGAAATACCTTTCCAACCAAGTCTTCTTTTGAGGACACTAAACTTCTGAAAGTAAAGGTAGGGAACTACATCCTGAAGTCAGATTAACCGGTACCGTTCCATTCCATAATGCCAGCAATTAATGTGTGAGAATATCTCAACTCTTCGGGCATTTTGCAACTGGACTGCAGTTTATTTTACCGTCTGGACATGGCACCGACTATTAGAGTACTTCAGACAGACAGTTACTTCTTTGGCTGTTGTCCGCGCAAATCTTGCAGTGTTCGATCATGGGCCTCGAGCCATAGTACATTTAATCCAAACACGAAGTTTGCATTTCTGTAGTATTTTTCCCGTGCCGGATGTCTTGGAAATGTTGTACGTGGGTATATCGATGAATCACACGTGTAACGGCAATTTCAAAGCAGAATAAGCAATTCTTCCGCCGGGTAGCATGGTTGTAGCTATTCCGGAGAATGTAAGTGCTAAGGCTATGTCAATTTGGATCATACTGCTGGCAAAATCAGTCTTATTAGCAACGTTTTTCCAGTCCCTTCTGGCGCATCGCAGAAGAAGATTCCTTAAACCCTGTTATTGACAGTTCGTAAACACGTCAGTTTGGCTTAACTTGAAGAACGCAGTTAATGTTGTTCCCGGTGGACCTAAGGCAACCCGTTGCACATTTGCAGCTTTAAGGTAAACACATCGCCCATTATCTAACTGTACTGCAAGTGCACAACACCTGGACTTCGGTCATGGATGGGGAAAGAAAGAATCCGCACACGGCTTTGTTGCTGTTGATGCATCTTCCAACCCGAAACTGTGCGATTTCATCGAGTTGTACGTCCGCATCCCTTTCTCTCTTTCCGCATTGGAGGCTGAAAAGGGTTGTCTCACTGCCTTTATGCACGTACTTACAAATGTACCTAATTCATTTCCCGGAATTGCAGTTTTCCACGTTTATGTGAAATTGGTTTGCTTCTAAAAGCAACGGCGAATACGAAACAACCCAGTGGTTACCGACTTGTATGTCACCAATTCGCATTCGTACGGTTGCCAATTTGCCGACGTCTTCCGCCTCGAGCGTACTCAAAAATATGACGTGAACTGTCTGTGTATGTGGATGACAAAGTCGTTAGTCTTACAACGTTAGTTGAATTACCGTCGTTTACAACTGCATCATACAAATGAATATATTCTTAAGAGCGCAGCTCGGTCTGATTCAAGCGAATAAACAGCATGCGTTCTGTTTCGATTTTCGCATACATTTTCATAACGTAGTGGTGAAACAATTGACGGCATTTTAAAAGGGGATTACGTACATTTAGTCGAATCATAAGTCGGTAGGAATAGTAGTTCATTGTGCTGCAATTCACGCGCGTTTCCTCGTCACTGAGTGGATTTATCATCTTAAAGTTGAAGTAATATATACCGGCGCCATGCCCAAAAGTAAATGGATACTGCAGGGCGGCGTAGCGCCGATGAGTTTCTGCAACTCTTGTCATTTGATCGTTTCGCCAATGAAGAACAATATCACTACGTTGAAATCGGTCTCCGACCATGGCGACTGCCACTTCATCTATAGTAGGGACATTGAATCGTCGTCCATGTTGTCCAGTAGGCGTCTTCTCTGCATGAATGACAATCGTGTACGTATCTGATAGCATCATGGTAATTGCGGTTTGGAACCTACGCAGCAAGTTTGTGTGTTCATAAAGAAGCTCTTGCAGTTGAGAAATGATGAACCGTTTCATTCCGGTGGAAATTCCACAGCATGCATTCGATTCGTCAGATCCTTCAGTATCTTAGTGTGACAACTCCAACTGGCGGCCAAGACTTGCAAGTCCTTTTGGGGAAGGGGGGAGGTGGTTGGCCTAGCCGCCCATATTACATTTTATCGGAGGGGGGAGGTGTGTTCAGTTATGTCTGCGGCGGTGACCGCCACCAGCGGAGTGCACGTGTTTTCCAGAGGGTCACATGTCTGTCCCAGCGGATTGCGGTCAAGTTGAGACAGCGACCGCTGGACAAGGAGGGGGGGGGAGGGGGTGGTGGTAACTGCATCTGGTAGCGGCCGAGAATCCTAGTGGAAGCGGCGACAGCCCGGTTATGTGTGTTGTGCGACAAGTTCAAGTGGAGCCCAAGAGTTACATGTTTTTTTCCCCTATGTGTGGTTTGCTCTAGCGGCCCGTACTGCATCGGCAAGGCAGGGGGAGGACATGGTCAAGTGTCTGCAGCGGGGCGGTGAACGCGGCCGTCGGGGCGCACGTGTGTTCGCGTGGATGCGGTTCAAGTGGCCGCAGAAGGTGGCGCTGAAACGCTGGAAAAAAGGCCAGTTTTTTACCCATCACAGGCGGAACATCGGCATAATCATGAAGGTAAGCATAAAAACCCGGCCTTGAGAGCGGGTAAGGTTGTGTCAAAAACTAAGCGAAATTGGCGCAGAACTTTCGGGGAAAAACGCTTCAATTTTATAGACATAGATTTATGCAGCTCGTTTTGCCAGTGTTAAATTAGCTGGATCTGGCGTAGTTATCTGGACCCGATGAGATCCCAGCTGCACTGCCACGGTCGCTAGCTGAAGAATTAACAGAGCCACTCTATATAATCTTCCCCAAAAATCACTCAAAGCTGGCAAACATCCTGATACATGAAATTTGGCAGATGTCGCAACCAACCATAAGGGAGGATCACGGCTATACCCCATTAACTACGGGCAAGTAAGATTGACATGCATTTGCTGTAAGCTGATGGAGGGGATAGTTTACAAAAAGTCATTTAAATCTTTAGACACACTCCGCTATCATGTCAGTCCATTTGAGCACGTTTTCTGTGATTAGAGGTCCAGCAACAAAGCCCTTATTAAATCGTTCGAACGGCGCTTACGCAATCGACTTCCAGGATACTGCAAGTTATTTGCTGCTTCGTACCCGCTCTCGGGTCCCCTATCATCACTTCAGGCTGCTAGTGAAGGCCTACCGCCAACGCAGTGTTAGTGTAAACGTTCCTCATCCATGCGCTCTTGTCTTCAAACTCAGGAGGTACACCGGCCACCATCCGGTTTACAATTACGCCCCCGATAGCAGTGTCGATAATTAAGTCCACACGCAATTGGAGGCACGCCCACATGCAAGATGGTCTATTTAAGTCAAATCGCAGACCGACGGAGTGTGAACCCACATTGCAACCTACCTGATCATGACCAGCCTGTCGTTGCTACTGCTATTTGCTGTTGCCCACGCTCTCGTGTGCCAGGCGTCACCGGCCTACGAGATTCTGGAAGCCGATGACGAGGAGGGTCTGAGTGAGGCTCTGAAATGGGAAGGACCAGAAGAGCAGGAGGCGGTGCAAGAGCAGGACGAGGAGGAGGATGAGAAGAGGTCAAGTGAATTGAAGGCAGATGCTGAGGAGCTGGAGACTGGGTTGGTTGAAGGTGTTTTGGCTCCTGCGCGCAGTAGACGCGGCATAATATGCGTTCGCGTTTGTTCTCGCAGAATCTGCAGAGTTGCCTGTAGACGTGTTTAACCGCATCCACACTTACAATAAAGATCCTATTTTGATTAATGAGCCATTTTTTCTTGCTGCTTGCGAAGATGCTCGGGCAGTTCGGAGGGGCATTGCGGGATGAGTAGGCTGGAATCAGTTTTGTTTCGGTTGAACTTATTAGCCAAAAGCAAGGAGATGGGGCATGCCACCTTCAACTCTTCCTGCCTGCGAATCGCATCAAAATAAAAAGCTTGTCCTTTATACTGATTAATCCATTTGATTGCAGTCCTCGTCCATGTACCATGCAGCCTTGATGCATACTTGCATGGAGCATCATCTTCCCATATGAGCTCCAAGGAAAGGTTAGCAAAGAAGACGAAGGAGAGTGGAATTACTCCGTGTGATTTTGTAGATGAACGTAAAGAAATCCATGCGGCGGCGATCGTTAGCGTTCATCTGTTGCAGGCTGAATCTGGATGCCATATTATTGGAGGAGGAGGAGGAGGAGGAGGAGAAGAAGAGGCATTTGGAGACAAGTTTAGTGATGCATCGAATGACCTTGAAGCAATATCAGATCGGCCACAGAGATCGCCACAATGAGAAGTATGTTTGGAGTGTGAGATCAACTGGGAGGCAGAGAGAGGGAGCAGGATGTTTTATAGCAATTAACTTGTAGACTGCACATAGGTGCACCACAGAAAAGTGAGAGCAATCACGGTGTTATCCAATTGAGTGAAATTATATTGGTAGTATACTTGCGCATCACAAAGCCCACCCTCTGGACCTCACACTCCTGTCCTTAATGTCAAGATAGACACAGGAATACCGGGCACGGGAGAGAGCGTAGTGGGTTAAAAATGTAAACAACTTGTCTGCGCTTGTCACATAGACCTGCTCCGCGCACAGTCTACTACGTCCTCACTCAATAAGGAAGGTTGGTTATTTCGGATTTAACTGAGTGGTAGGTGAAAGAAGAGTATAATTCGGTTTTGAAAATCTTTTCTACTTCTCAAATAATTTTGAACCCGACATGCTGTTACACTTGCATTTAGGGTTTCAAACTACAAGCTGTATATTTTCCGTGTACGGAAAACCACGCATTGCTCTACGGTGTTAAGAGGAGACCATATGAGGTTCATAAAATTAAGCAGTGGATTTGAGCAATATTGTTACCTTTACAAGCCACATTCGTAAATGCAGATACATGACGTTTCATGAACGGCCATTTAACGGTATTAAAAAATCTCACAATTAGAAACTTTTTAATACCGAATATACTTTTCTTTTGAGTACGAAATAGGAAGAAGACGTGATTTTCAACCGAATATGTAAAAGAGTGAATAGTTTATGCATGTTTTCCATGAAATATAATTGAATTTTAAGGGGCATCGAAAATCAATGAGAAAATTGCATGCTAGTTAAGTAGTCATTGTTTGCGGCGTATAGATCTTGCATGCAACCGAAAAAAGTTCTTTCAAGAGCCGACACCCTGAGGTTACTGGGTCATTATAGATTTATGCTGCGGTTTCGAAAAGATTCCCAATTTCGGAATACATTTGAGCCCAACCAACCATTGCATTAGCGTTTATCAATTTCAGTCTACAAAGAGTGTGCCTTCCGCGTGAGGAAAATCATATATTCTTCCATGCCTTTAAAAAGGTACCGTATATAGTTCATGAAATTTTCCGATGGAAGGGGACTATGTTGTACATTTCATGAGGAGCATTGGCAAATGCTGTAGCAAATGAGATCGCGCAGACTTAGAAATCTCATAATTAGAAACCTTTTTTTTAAAAAAAAGCGAGATGACTTTTCTTAGAGTATAAAACGTAAAGACGATGTAATTTCCCACCAAATGAGTAAAAAAGCATGCATTGTGCATTGATTTTATAAAATATATTTGAATTTACAAGAACACCGAAAATCAATGTGAAAACACATGCTACATAAGCAGTCAGATTTTATCGAGTGTGGTTTCGACAGGGGGAGCGAAAAGAAGTTCAGTCAAAAGCCGACATTCTAGTGAGTCTGAAATACTATAGGAGTTTACCGCATGATGATCAGTATTACAACCCCAGCAAAGTGATCCTTTATAATCGAAATCGCATTTCAGAATTTCGGCCAACATTGCATGACATCGGTCAATCACAGAACTTAATATTTGAGCGTGGTTATATAAGTAGTGTAGTACCCAGGTCTGATGCGAAAGGCGGCGCAGAAGAAGCCTTTAAACCTAATGATCACAAGAACACTGGCTCATAAAAGATAAAAGAAAGTGTCGAAAGAGTCTTTTTGAATGCCCGCTGCTTGCCTTCTTTGTCCCTGTGTAAGTGGGAGGTAAGATATGGTTATGTAGCAACACACGACTGACACAATAATGTTGGGGTTGGGGTTAGGGGTTGGGTTAAGGTGCTAGGGGTTACTGCAGCTATTTCTCAACCATTCAAAGTGCAACGATACAGGCCATATAGCTTTCTTTTGGAAGCAACTACTTGACCTCGTCTAATTTTCAATCCAAGCCCCCATCTAAAAATATCCCTCTTAACACCGGTTTCGTTTTACAGGTGGCTGTGGACCGTAATCAAGTGAACTGGTCGGTGAAAAGGGCAAGTTTATGATTTTGCTGCAGTTCACACGCTGGAAGAGTTAAAGGTGGCATGCTCCATCTCCTTACGTTTGATGATTAGTTCAACCGAAACAAAACTAATTGGAGCCCCTCCGAACTGCCCGAGCATCTTCGCACGCAGCAAGAACAAATGTCTCATTTATCTAACTAGGCAATTTATTTTAAGTGTGGATGCGGTTAAACACGTCTACAGGCAACTCTGCAAACTCCGCGAGAACAAACCCGAACGCATAATATGCCGCGTCTACTGCGCGCAGGAGCCAAAGTCCCTTCAACCAACCCAGCCTCCAGCTCCTCACCATCTGCCTTCAATTCACTTGATCTCTTCTCCTCCTCCTCCTCCTCCTCCTCATCCCCCTGGTCTTGCACCGCCTCCTTCGCTTCTGGTCCTTCCCATTTCAGAGCCTCACTCAGACCCTCCTCGTCATCGGCTTCCAGAATCTCGTAGGCCGGTGACGCCTGGCACACGAGAGCGTGGGCAACAGCAAACAGCAGTACCAACGACAGGCTGGTCATGATCAGGTAGTTTGCAATGTGGGTTCACTCACACACGTCCTTCTCTGTCGGTCTGTGATTTGACTTAAATAGACCATCTTGCATGTGGGCGTGCCTTTTCTTGCGTGAGGACTTTATTATCGACACTGCTATCGGGGGCGTAATTGTAAACTGGATGGGGGCCGGTGTACCTCCTGAGTTTGAACATAGACGAGAACCGTTAATGTTGATACTACTGGCTTGTAATAGCGTGTCAAATAGGCCTGTTCCGCGCACACTTGACAACGTCTTCACACAATAATTAAGTTCGGTTACTTCGGATCCAACTGATTGGGAGTGTCATAGAGGCCACAGCAGGAAGGAACCATTGCAGCCTCACTCTCAGTGTTGACAGGAGGACTCAGTTTTACCGTCAGGTGGCAGCCTTCCTATCTACGGATTTTAGCTCACCGTGATAGATCTAAACGCCTCAGATATCTTAGAATTAGGAATGCGATGACTTGCCCCGGGGATTGTATATCCATAGTCGACCACACCCTCTCCTCCTGCACCAGTCGATTATCCTATTCCGTTTATCAACTGGTCTTGCGATCGCTGGCAATGGCCGACGGAGCCAAACAGCCTGCCTGCATGCCTTCTCCAGTCCCACCACAACACACCAGATTTAAATGCATCGGCAGTGGGTATCTGGTGCCACAAATACGCTAGGGTGCCATAAACTCCGTCTAAATGCTCTAGTCGACAAAACAGACATTCCCAAATCAGAAGTGACGGAAGGCTGAATTGGCATGGCAACCATTAAGTTTTACGAATGGCGAAGTAACCCCATCACAGGGCTTCAGACCCACTAGTCTTAAAAGTGCTCAGCCTAATTTGGTGTAATGTTTATTAAAGGGAAGAAATGAGACGCCTTGATGCAAAAAGTCCCCTACGAATGCATTAGCATACCTCAACAATTGGAGGATATTACCAGATCTGACCGTGGATTCTAGTGGTTCACCAAACTGATCTGCAGGAGTGAGTTAACTGCTGACCGTCCTCAGCTATGAACACAGTGGGCTTTTGTCAGTGTTCAAACGTACCACCAACAATGATGTTACACATCTCAGTGGACATGTCTGACATGAATGCCACCGTCGGCTAACAATAGGTTGACCCAAAGACGAAAAATATAAGATTCTCCGAAACCACCAATTTAACATCACGTTCCACCCGTCGAGCAACCGGCTCACGTCATCGGAATATTCATAGCCGCATAAAAGCCATCTGCCCAGATCCGGTGTGCACAATATTCCCCTCGACGATTTAGCCAGGTGAGTAGACGGACTTATGTATCCTTTACTACGTAGCCGATCAACATTTCAGAATACCAAACTACTACTGGTTGGGGCTTGGCAATGTGCAATTTAGATGGAGAAGCGCAAGCTAGTTTTTCAATTTATCTGACGTATACTTTTAAACTAATAGTCCCTATTCATAGGCCATTATGTAGTACCCGAGAATTCCGTGCGTAGGACTAACTGCAGAAGGCGAATCGGGAATGCAGACACTGGTAATTCCATATGAGGTTACTCATGCATCAGATAAGTAGGGTGCCAGTTTTCGACTGCACAGACATTCCCTAATCAGAAGTGACGGAAGGCGGAATGGGCATGACAACACTTACTTCTGAGGAAGTGCGTACAGGAGAATCTATAAGCAGTCCCAGCTAACGGTTTCTCCAGGCGATTTCCTCTGCGACTGCCGTCGAGTTGATTAACCCCCAATGAGTGTGCGCTTTAGCTTTGTCCCTGTTGACGTCCGTTGGCCAATCACCGAAGGGACAATGTTGGTTGTCTTCGAGCTTTCGCGAGGCTACTGACAAGCCGCACGTGGTCCCACCAGCGAATCTACTGGGAGCGTCAGCTGAACAGAAATGTAGCATGATCAAGCAGCGGTTAATATGGAGGCGCGAACTGCTACAGAACTCCCGGCTAGACCGAAGTTGGTGTGAAGCGACGCCGAAAGAAATGTTCATCTCTAAAATACATTAAAAAAAAACAAACTGTCAGCAAAATGGTCAGAGCGTCCACAACGGGTGATACGTGCTGGTTGCACAGATAAGACCGAGAATTGCTCGCAGCTACAGTGTTGGAGTTTGATGGGACGGTAGTTGAAGTTGGGCGTAGCGGATATGGCAGATTGGCGTAATCATCATCAAAAAGAGGAACTGAGACGCCTTGATGCAAAAAGTCTCCTATGAATGCATCAGCATGGGTCAACACCTGGAGGATATTAACAGATCTGACCGTGGATTCTAGTGTTAAACCAAACAGAACAGCAGGAGTGAATTAACCAGTGGCCGTCCTCTACCATGATTAAAAGGGGCTTTCGCCAGTGTACAAAAGTACCGACTAACTTGGATGCTATAGATCTCAGTGGACAAAGCAGACATGAATGCCATAATCAGCCGACAAACACTTAACTCAACTACAAAAATCTATGATTCCGTGAAACTGTCAATTAATCAGCATCGGACTATTCAAAGTCGCGTAGGCAGCAGGTGCACGTATCCGGTGTGCAGATAATTCCCTACGACAAGTTTCCCGATTGCTGAACGGACAAGCAGCAAAATGTGGTTTACATATCATTTAGTAAGTATCTCGTCATCATTTAAATGTATAACACTATTAATGGCTAGTCATATAACGGTTAGAAACAAACGGCACCAAAGATATTCGCGCAATAAAAACAGGACCAAAAATATTTTTCCAATGTCGGTGATTCAGTGCTTTCTTTCGAGAAAATCGAGTATGATGCGATGCCCTGACAAGGTAGTCATTTGAAACGCACATCCCATGTCTTCATAATACGTTGGACTGACACAAAAACCATTGTTTCATAGAAAAGATGAGCGTTGCAACAGCGAGAATTCAATGTAGGTAAGAGATATGAAACAAACTCGATTTTCCTCTGCCATTTATTTTCATTTGACGTATTCTAATGTTCTAATAAAAGATGCCAGGATTGAAAACTAGCAGATATATTGGTCATCTATCTTATTCAAACGGAATGAATAGAGCCTCTCCTTTTCATGCACCTGGTTCAACATTTGTCGCTTGTCGGCCTGCGAGCAGTTATTTCAAACAAATCGTGCATCCACTTGCGAGAGTTGAGACCTCCCGCGTGATGCCTCGATAAGCATCTAATTATGCCTCGGTGAATTCGGCAAATATTCTGGCATCTATAGCCAGGAAAGTGGTAACAAAGGGTGCCTCATGATCCTCGTACCAAAGACCGTGCTCATATTCACAGAGGTAGCAGAGAGGTAGGTAAGTCTGTACTGAAACTTGTCGGAACAAACGAAACGAAAATAAACAACCGTTTTATCCCCTCCGTCCCACCGTCACTGACAGCTACGCGGACAAAGTTACCCGCGATTGGCAACATCTACGATCCCACTTCCGATGACTTGCCATGACGATCTGATGGACAAGTGCTATGACAACCTCCATTTCTTTATGTCCGTGTTGAATTTTGACAAATTTGTTTTCGTACACAACTTCAATCTGTGAGACAGCACACATCAGGATATCTGGAAGAGAATGCTTCTTCCACTATGAACATGTCCCTGGTGTGGCAGCCGAATCAATCATATGCAAGCCTTCGCAAGAGTAAACCTCACCACCGATGCCGTCATTTGAATACCAAAGTTCGGTACGATAGCCAAAATCGGCCAGCTCATATGCCTACTGAAAAACTGTTGGCCAGGTGCTCGTCAGAAGACGAAATATGCGGATGACAACAAACAACGTTTTCCAAACGACGAGCGGAAAACCGCTTTGTCCAGTCACAGAGACAGTTTACTTGTAAGAAATCCCCAATGAATGAGAATATGCTGCTACCGGATCTCCTCAGGGAATGCGGACTAGATATAAGAAGAGGAATAGACCAAATTTTTGGCCCAAATGGAAGAAAGTTGTGAAAAAATATTAGCAAACAGTAAAAAAAAACGGACTGCAGAACAATTCCGGTGCTGAATTTCCGGGACAAAATGCAAATAAAAATGTAAAAATAAAGACTGCTCCCCAATGATTCTCTCGCTACCACCCGAAATTACACTGAACATCTGGTTAAACACGCAGAGAGCATTTCAAAAAATGCACTTAATTCTATGATAGCAACGCCATATTCTAGAACAGACAGCTAGTGTTTCACTGAACACTCTTCACTTCAGGCTGCCAATGACGGCATAACGCCAACGCAGTGTTAGTGTAAACGTTCCTCGTCTATGCGCTCTTGTCTTCAAAATCCGGAGGTACACCGGTCACCATCCGGTTTACAATTACGCCCCCGATAGCAGTGTCGATAATTAAGTCCACACGCAATTGGAGCCACACCCACGTGCAAGATGGTCTATTTAAGTCAAATCACAGACCGACAGAGAAGGACGTGTGTGAGTGAACCCACATTGCAAACTACCTGATCATGACCAGTCTGTCGTTGGTACTGCTGTTTGCTGTTGCCCACGCTCTCGTGTGCCAGGCGTCACCGGCCTACGAGATTCTGGAAGCCGATGACGAGGAGGGTCTGAGTGAGGCTCTGAAATGGGAAGGACCAGAAGCGAAGGAGGCGGTGCAAGAGCAGGAGGAGGAAGAGGAGAAGAGGTGAAGCAAATTGAAGGCAGATGGTGAGGAGCTGGACACTGGGTTGGTTGAAGGTGCTCTGGCTCCGGCGCGCAGTAGACGCGGCATATTATGCATTCGCGTTTGTATTGGCAGAATTTGCAGAGTTGCCTGTAGACGTGTTTAACCGCACACACACACAATCACACTTACAATAAAGATCCTATTTTGATTAATGAGCCTTTTCGTTTTGCTGCGTGCGAAGATTCTTGGGCGGATTGGGGGGGGGGCATTGCGGGATGTGAAAGCCGCAATCAGTTTTGTTTCTGTTGAACTAATTAGACAAAAGCTAGGAGTTGGGCATGTCATCTTCAACTCTTCCTGCCTGTGAATTGCATCAACATCAAAAGCTTGTCCCTTACACTGATTAATCCATTTATTGCAGTCCTCGCCCATGTATTATGCAGCCTTGATGCATCTCTGTATGGAGCATCATCTTCCCATATGGGCTCCAAGGAAAGGTTAGTAAAGAAGACGAAGGTGAATTGAATTACTCCGGGTGATTTTGTAGATGAACGTAAAGATATCCATGCGGCGGCGATCGTTAGCGTTCATCCGTTGCAGCCTGAATCTGGATGCCATATCATTGGAGGAGGTGAAGAGGCATTTGGAGACAAGTTTAGTGATGCATCGAATGACCTTGAAGCGACACTAGATCGACCACAGGCATCGCCACAATTAAAAGTCTACTTGGAGTCTGAGATCGATTAGGATTCGTGGAGGCGGAGCATGATGTTTTATAGAAATTATATTGTAGATTGCATATAGGTACTCCACAGAATGATGAGAGCAATCACGGTGGTATCCAATTGAGTAGAATTATATTAGTAGTATACTTGCGCATCACTAAGCCCACCCTCTGGACCTCACAGTCCTCTCCTCAATGTCAAGATAGACACAACAAAACCGGACACGGGAGAGAGCGTAGTGGGTTAAAAATGTAAACAACTTGTCTGCGTTTATCACATAGACCTGCTTCGCGCACAGTCGACTACGTCCTTACTCAATAAGGAAGGTTGGTTATTTCGGATTCAACTGAGTGGTAGTTGAAAGAACAGTATAATTCGGTTTTGAAAATCTTTTCTATTTCCCGAATAATTTTGAACCCGACCTGCTGTTACACTTGCATTTAGGATTTCAAACTACAAGCTGTATATTTTCCGTGTACGGAAAACCACGCATTGCTCTACGGTGTTAAGAGGAGACCATATGAGGTTCATAAAATTAAGCAGTGGATTTGAGCAATATTGTCACCTTTACAAGCCACATTCGTAAATGCAGATACATGACGTTTCATGAACGGCCATTTAACGGTATTAAAAAATCTCACAATTAGAAACTTTTTAAAAACAAATACTTTTCTTTTAAGTATGAAATTGTAAGAAGACGTGATTTTCAACCGAATATGTAAAAGAATGAATATTTTATGCATGTTTTCCATGAAATATAATTAAATTTTCAAGGGCATCGAAAATCAATGAGAAAATTGCATGCTAGTTAAGTAGTCATTGTTTGCGGCGTATAGATCTTGCATGCAGCCGAAAAAAGTGCTTTCGAGAGCCGACACCCTGCGGTAACTGGATCATTATAGATTTATGCTGCGGTTTCGAAAAGATTCCCAATTTCCGAATACCTTTGAGCCCAACCAACCGTTGCATTAGCATTCATCAATTTCAGTCTACAAAGTGTATGCCATTATATTCATACACTTACAGTGCGTGACCGATCTCATGAAGTGTTTGCCGAAACTCAGAAATGCGTTTTCGATTAGAAAGTATTACTTAGCTGGTGTTGTAATATTGATCCTCAAGAGGCAAAATCCTATAGCATTTCAGACTCGCAAGGGTGTCGGCTTTTGGCTGAAATTCTCTTCGCTCCCCATGCCGAAACCACACTCGATAAAAACCGACTACGTATGCAACACGTATTTTCACATTGATTTTAGGTGTTCTTGTAAATTCAAACATATTTTATAGAAAACATGCACAAAACGTGCTTTCCTTTACTCGTTTGGTAGGAAATCACATCGTCTTTACGTTTTATACTCTAAGAAAGGTTATATTTCGGTTTTGAAAAGATTCCCAATTTCTGAATACTTTTGAGCCTGGCCAAACGTTGCATTAGCATTTATCAATTTCACTCTAGAAAGTGTATGCCTTCCGCGTGAGGAAAATCATACATTCTTCCATGCCTTTAAAAAGGTACCATATATAGTGCATGAAATTTTCCGATGGAAGTGGACTATGTTGTACATTTCACAAGCAGGATTGGCAGGCGGATATTTGCGATGCTGTAGCAATTAAGATCGCGCAGACTTAGAAATCTCATAATTAGAAACCTTTTTTTAAAAAAAGCGAGATGACTTTTCTTAGAGTATAAAACGTAAAGACGATGTGATTTCCTGCCAAACGAGTCAAAATGCATGCTTTGTGAATGTTTTTTATAAAACATATTTGAATTTACAAGAACACCGAAAATCAATGTGAAAATACATGCTACATAAGCAGTCAGTTTTTATCGAGTGTGGCTTCGTCAGGGGGATCGCAAAGAAGTTCAGTCAAAAGCCGACATTCTGGTGAGTCTGAAATACTATAGGAGTTTACCGCATGATGATCAGTATTATAACCCCAGCAAAGTGATCCTTTATAATCCAAAACGCGTTTCAGAATTTCGGCCAATATTTCATCACATCGGTCAATCACAGAACTTATTATTTGAGCGTGGTTATATAAGTAGTGTAGTACCCAGATCTGATGCAAAAGGCGGAGCAGTAGAAGCCTTTAAACCCAATGATCACAAGAACACTGGCTCAAATTAACAAGTAAGCCAGCTATAAAACCCTGGTAAATTGGAATTACACGTCTTCTTCGCGTAGGTGACTTGAAACATAGTTTCAGTTTCTAGAATAAATTTGGCAATTTATTTTTCCTGCACCAGTCCTGCAAGACATTATCCAATGTGTAGAGGCATAGAGGAGCAAGGGAGAAAAGTGACATTATCAAACTAGCAGTTCTTAGCGAGTGTTGTTTTTACAGTGGCCCTAGCATATGCTCATCTCAGAGCGGAATTGTGAACCACATTAAACTGTATCTGAGGGGACCTTGTTAAGCTGTTTATCATAGGAGACGAGGTGTCGATCGCTTACTACAACTTCTCATCACCAAAATTCTTCTAGCTGAATCTATTCCTCTCCAGAGCTGCTCCGGCTTCCTTACATCACATCCTCTTCGGTTACTTCCACGAACACGAACACAGACGTTGACAGACAGAGGAGAGCATGACCCATCGTGAATAACACTGCTAAGGGCAGGGTGGTTGTTGTCGAAGGAGTCTTATCGAATGCAGCCTGCTTGCCTTCTTTGTCCCTGTGTATGCGGAAGGTAAAATATGGTTATGTAGCCCCGCCCGATCGACACATTACCGTCTGGATTCAGTTACGGGATTGGGTTAAGGGGCTAGGATTAGCGATTCGATTTAGCGTCAGGGGTTACTGCAGCTGTTTCTCAACCATTCAAAATACAAGGATGCAGGACACATCGATGAATTTTTCAAGCACTACTTGACCTCGTCCAATTTTCGATCCCAGGCTCGATCTTCCAACCGGTCTCATATTACAGGTCGATGCGGACTGTAATTAAGTAAACTGATCGGTGAAAAGAGCATGTTTTTGACTTTGCAGCCATTCACACTCGGGAACAGTTGGAGATGGCATCTTCCATTTCCTTACTTTTGGTTACCTAGCTCAACCGAAACAAAAATGATTGCAGACTGCTCATCCCGTAATGCCCCTCCGAACTGCCCGAGCATCTTCGCACGCAGCAAGAAGAAGAATGAATGTTCAGTGAAACACTAGCTGTCTGTTCTAGAATATGGCGTTGCTATCATAGAATTAAGTGCATTTTTTGAAATGCTCTCTGCATGTTTAACCAGATGTTCAGTGCTATTTCGGGTGGTAGCGAGAGAATCATTGAGGAACAGTCTTTATTTTTAAATTTTTATTTGCATTTTTTTCGGAAAATCAGCACCAGAAGTGTTCTGCAGTCCGTTTTTTTTTTACTGGTTTCTAATATTTTTCACAACTTTCGTCCATTTGGGCCAAAAATTTGGTCTATTCCTCTTCTTCTATATAGTTCGCATTCCCTGAGGAGATCCGGTAGCAGCATATTCTCATTCATTGGGGATTTCTTACAAGTAAACTGTCTCTGTGACTGGACAAAGCGGTTTTCCGCTCATCGTTTGGAAAACGTTGTTTGCTTTCATCCGCATATTTCGTCTTCTGACGAGCACCTGGCCAACAGTTTTTCAGTAGGCATATCAGCTGGCCGATTTTGGCTATCATACCGAACTTTGGTATTCAAATGACGGCATCGGTGGTGAGGTTTACTCTTGCGAAGGCTTGCATATGATTGATTCGGCTGCCACACCAGGGACATGTTCATAGAGGATGAGGCATTCTCTTCCAGATATCCTGATGTGTGCTGTCTCACAGATCGAAGTTGTGTACGAAAACAAATTTGTCAAAATTCAACACGGACATAAAGAAATGGAGGTCGTCATAGCACTTGTCCATCAGATCGTCATGGCAAGTCAATCGCTGGTAACTTTGTCCGCGTAGCTGTCAGTGACGTTAGGATGGAGGGGATAAAACGGTTTTTTATTTTGGTTTCGTTTGTTCCGACAAGTTTTAGTACAGACTTACCTACCTCTCTGCTACCTCTGTGAATATGAGCACGGCCTTTGGTACGAGGATCGTGAGGCACCCGTTGTTACCTCTTTCCTGGCTTTAGATGCCAGAATATTTGCCGAATTCACCGAGGCCTAATTAGATGCTTATCGAGGCATCACGCGGGAGGTCTCAACTCTCGCAAGTGGATGCACGGTTTGTTTGGAATGACTGCTCGCAGGCCGACAAGCGACAAATGTTGAACCAGGTGCATGAAAAGGAGAGGCTCTATTCATTCCGTTTGAATAAGATAGATGACCAATTTATCTGCTTGTTTTCAATCCTGACATCTTTTATTAGAACATTAGAATACGTCAATTGAAAATAAATGGCAATGGAAAAACGAGTTTGTTTCATATCTCATACCTACATTGAATTCTCGCTGTTGCAACACTCATCATTTCTATGAAACAATGATTTTTTTGTCGGTCCAACGTATTATGTAGAAATGGGATGTGCGTTTAAAATGACTACCTTGTCAGGGCACCGCATCATACTCGATTTTCTCGAAAGAAAGCACTGAATCACCGACATTGGAAAAATATTTTTGGTCCTGTTTTTATTGCGCGAATATCATTGGTGCCGTCTGTTTCTAACCGTTATATGACTAGCCATCAATAGTGTTATACATTTAGATGATGACGAGATACTGACTAAATGATATATAAACCACATTTTCCAGCATGTCCGTTCAGCAATCGGGAAACTTGTCGTAGGGAATTATCTGCACTCGGGATACGTCCACATGTCACCTTCGCGACTTTGAATATATCGATGCCTTTGAATTGACAGTTTCACGGAATCACTAATGTTCGAATCTGATTATGGCATTCATGTCAGATGTGCCTATGAGATCCATAGCATCACTGATATTCGGTGCGTTTCAACAAAGATGATAGTTCACTTGTAGAGGACAGCCTCTGATTACCTCAATCCTGCAGATTTGTTCAGTTTACCACTAGAAACAACGGTCTGCATTGGTAATATCCTCCTGCTCTTAAGCAAGCGTTTCGATAAGATCTCCAAACCTCAGTTTGGTTGTGAGGGCCTACCGCCAACACAGTGTCAGCAGTATCACAGCAGAAATTGCCTGGACAGAGCGCTATCGGAGACGGCTTTTAGATTCTTGTATACGCACTTCCTCAGAAGTAAATTTTGTACATACCCATTCCGCCTTCCGTCTCTTTTGATCTCTGTACTGTCGACAACAGCATGTCGACGGAATAACTGGCACCCTACTTACCTGATGCGTGAGTAAGCTCATATGGAATTACCGGTGTCTGCATTCCTCATGTCCGATTCGCCTTCTGCAGAAATTCCTCCGCACTACATAATGGGATATGAATCAAGTCTACTGGTTTGAAATTTCACGTGAGGTAAATTGTCAAACCTGCTTTCGTTTCTCATCTGAAATTGCACGACGCCAAGACCCAACAAGTAGTAGTTCGATATTCTGAAATGTTGATCGACTACTTAGAAAATGATACATAAGTCCTCACGTTGGACGTCCACTCACCTGGCTAAATCGTCGCGGGGAATAATTTGCACACGGCCTCTGCGCGGCTATCGATATTTTGATGACAGTAAATGTTACGTGAGCTGGCTAATCGACGAGCAGAACGTGACGTTAAATTGACATTTTCACAGAATCTCATACCTTCCATCTTTGTTTAGCCTGTTGTTAGCCGAAGATGTCATTCATGCCAGATTTACACACTGAGATCTATAACATCCAAGTTAGTCGGTTCGTTTGTACACTGACGAAAGCACCTCGTATTCATAGTAGAGGACGGCCACTGGTTAATTCACTCCTGCAGATCTGTTTGGTTTAACACTAGAATCCACGGTCAGATGTGCTGAAATCCTCCAGCAGTTGACCCATGCTGATGCATTCATGGGAGACTTTTTGCATCAAGGCGTCTCAGTTCCTCTTTTTGATAATGATTACGCCAATCTGCCATATCCGCCACGCCCAACTTCAAATACCGACTTATCAATCTCCAACACTGAGGCTGAGAGAAATGCTCGGTCTTTAACTGTGAAACCAGCACGTATCATCCGTTGTGGACGCCCTGACCATTTTGCTGACAGTTTGTTTACTTATGAATTTAAGATATGAACATTTCTTTCGGCACCGCTTCACGCCGACTTCGGTCTAGCCGGGAATTCTATAGCAGTTCGCGCCTCCATATTAACCGCTGCTTGATCATGCTACATTTCTGTTCACCTGACGCTCCCAGTAGATTCCCTACTGGGACCACGTGCGGCTTGTCACTAGCCTCGCGAATGCTTGAAGCCAGCCAACGTTGCCCCTTCGCTGATTGGCTAACGGACGTCAACAGGGACAAAGCGAAAGCGCACACACACTGGGGGTTAATCACCTCGACGGCAGTCAGAGAAGAAATCGGCTGGAGAGACCGTTAGCTGGGACTGCTTATAGATTCTCGTGTACGCACTTCCTCAGAAGTAAGGGTTGTCATGCCCATTCCGCATTCCGTCACTTCTGATTTGGGAATGTCTGTGCGTTGTCGATAACAACACGTCGACGGAATAACTGGCACCCTACTTCTCTGATGCATGAGTAAACTCATATGGAATTACCAGTGTCTGCATTCCCGATTCGCCTTCTGCAGTTAGTCCTACGCACGGAATTCTCGAGTACTACATAATGGCATATGAATAGGGACTACTAGTTTAAAAGTATACGTCAGATAAATTGAAAAACTAGCTTGCGTTTCTCCACCTAATTTGCACATTGCCAAGCCCCAACCAGTAGTAGTTTGGTATTCTGAAATGTTGATCGGCTACGTAGTAAAGGATACATAAGTCCGTCTACTCACCTGGCTAAATCGTCGAGGGGAATATTGTGCACACCGGATCAGGGCAGACGGCTTTTATGCGGCTATGAATATTCCGATGACATAAGCCGGTTGCTCGACGGGTGAAACGTGATGTTAAATTGGTGGTTTCAGAGAATCTTATATTTTTCGTCTTTGGGTCAACCCTGTTGTTAGCCGACGATGGCATTCATGTCAGACATGTCCACTGAGGTATGTAACATCATTGTTGGTGGTACGTTTGAACACTGACAAAGGCCCACTGTGTTCATAGCTGAGGACGGTCGGCAGTTAACTCACTCCTGCAGATCAGTTTAGTTTACCACTAGAATCCACGGTCAGATCTGGTAATATCCTCCAATTGTTGAGGTATGCTGATGCATTCGTAGGGGACTTTTTGCATCAAGGCGTCTCATTTCTTCCATTTAATAAACATTACACCAAATTAGGCTGAGCACTTTTAAGACTAGTGGTTCTGAAGCCCTGTGATGGGGTCCCTTCGCCCTTCCTAAGACTTAATGGTTGCCATGCCAATTCCGCCTTCCGTCACTTCTGATTTGGGAATGTCTGTGTTGTCGACCACAGCATTTCGACGGAATTTATGGCACCCAAGCGTATTTGAGGCGCCAGATACCCACTGCCGATGCATTTAAACCTGGTGAGTTGTGGTGCGGCGGGAGTAGGCAAGCGGGCCGTGTGTGGAACGCATAGGCAGGCTGCTTGGCTATGTCAGCCACTGACAGCGATCGCAAGACCAGTTGATAAACGGAATAGGATAATCGACTGGTGCAGGTGGAAGCGAAGAGAAGGTGAGGTCGACTATGTGTATACAGTCCCCGCGGCAAGTCCTCGCATTCCTAATTCTAAGCTATCTGAAGCGTTTGCATCTATCACAGTGAGTTAAAAGCCGTAGATAGGAAGGCTTCCACCTGACGGCAAAACTGAGTCCTCCTGTCAGGACTGACAGTGAGGCTGCAATCGTTCTTTCCTACTGTGGCCTTTATGACACTCCCAATCAATTGGATCCGAAGTAACCAACCTTCCTTGTTGAGAGAAGACGTTGTCAAGTGTGCGCGGAACAGGCCTATGTGACACACGTAGACAAGCCAGTGAGGGCCTAACGCCAACCGTTGGTCAGGTGCTCGTCAGAAGACGAAATATGCGGATGACAACAAACAACGTTTTCCAAACGATGAGCGGAAAACCGCTTTGTCCAGTCACACAGACAGTTTACTTGTAAGAAATCCCCAATGAATGAGAATATGCTGCTACCGGATCTCCTCAGGGAATGCG